TCGACGTGAGTGTGATGATATTCTGCGGGAGACTGTGGAGGGTCAACTGGGTCTCTCTGTACGTGCCTACGATGCTACAATGGGCTGAAATCACTAAATAAGCCAAAAACCTTTAACGATCCAAAATGTTTCATTATTCTGCATTTTAGTTACTGTTATGAGTAGTTACCTAACACCTATTTCATTATTTAATTAACAAAAGTAAATTCAATGTTTTAAGTCCATCAAACCAAAATTAAATAATCAGTAGGGACAACTGTATGGCCTTCAATCTCACTTTCTGCGAACATTCACCTAACCGCTATGCTGCTCGTTACATTGCAGTCATGGAGCGGCAAAAGGTTTTTAGTGATTGTGCAACTTTGCTTCATTTAGGCTGGTATTTGTAGACTGCACCGCTGTACCTTTGTAACGGCCCTCGGCCACTTGTGGCAAGCAGCTCGCCAGTCCACATCGCCCATTTAAAATTACTTTCTTTGTTAAAATGAATTGGCAAACCATGATGAGACGTCAACGCAGCAAATAGCCCAAAATTTGACTTCGTTTAAAATGCACGAATTTTTCGTATGATTGACTGATTTCGGGATTATTCACTCAATGAACACCCAACAGTTGGCCTGACTATTTCGCAAACGTTATTAGAAGGTGGCCACGGAGACCATTTTAGACACTTCAATGAAATTAGCAACGCCCGTCCCTCCTGTCCCACACCGTGTTGTGGCGCTAGTCGCATCCAAAATATACAACCACAGGCAATGCATAATACCTCATTAAAAAACCGAAAGGGAGTCGATGAAGGGAAACTTTTAGTCAATTAGAGAAAAATTATGCTACCAACAGTAATTTTCGTTTTATTGAAAGAAAACTACAATAGCTGATGCAGCATGAATGTATCACTGGTGTTTATTTTTCACAATCCTTTCTTTCTTCTACCATAAAAATTTTCCTTCTCTAAAAGTTTAACATAAATTTTTACTTGTTATAGTACATTGAAGCGCTAAAATTAGTGCTTTTCAAATCAGTAATTGCCGACAAGATTTCAGACAAAGGGGAGTTGACGCAAGAGAAATATGTCAACACATTGGAAGATTTATTCAGGTCCTGTTACGCCTATTCCACACAATACTAGGAAAACACCATAACATCAAAGAGTTGGGTACATGTAAGGCGAGAATGAAAGGAGAGGTGGATGTGGCATTTGGAATTGGCGTTAGGATTTAACAAATCACAATTTGTTCGAATTAATTGTTTAAAAGTTGGTTTCGTTCTCTTAAAACTGAAGGAGTTTTATACAAAGAGAATTGAAGTCTCTAGGAAAGGGGTGATACATAGCTTATGCATAGAAGAAAGGAAGGAAAAGGAGACAATTTAACATTCCTCCCAGTACTTAATCTTGAAATCCTAGCCGTTTGCCAAACCTAAAGTTTGTGCTGTTGATTCAGGAAACATTCGCCACAGCTACAATAAAACCATTATAAAATTAAGGGAAATCGCAGGTTCTGAAAGACATTAATGCTACCGCATAACTTTAATGTTTAGGTATGCAAATTTGCAGTAAATATAAACAAAAAGGGTAGAAATAACGACCAATTAACTATATAAGTTCTGGAACCAAGTTTGTAAATCGCAATTTCTAACATTTTACTTATTTCCACAAACTTCTAAATCGGTTTGAATCCATGTCCAAAGCAAACATTGCAATGCCATGTTTTGGATTAAAAGGCGTTACACGGGGGTGGAGCACACAGTTAGGTGGACCGTAGTAAAATAAGAAACTCTCAGGCTTATGAAGACTACTGCTCCTATTCTTTTTGATAAAACCGCCAGCAGGCAGTTATCCCCATAACTCGATTTTAAGGGTTCTGATAGAGTGCAGCTCGGGTATGTTCCGATTCCATTAGGAATTATGAAGGTGTTTCTAGGCATCACGCAATACCCTCTTAAGTGGTCAATTAGGCTCCCCAAACCCCGCACTGTAGTAGGCAATAACTTCGTTTGGTATGACTGATTTGTTTCGCCAGTTGCTCTTATTTACCTGTGAAAAACAAAACATAAAAGAGTGGATGTGTTTGAAGAACCGCTTTTATTGTACAACACTAGAATTTAAAGAGAAACAGGAAGATTACGTTTATAACATAGCGTGTCGATTCAATCCTGGGATTCGGGATTAAAAACGAACCATACCGTAAATTTGCATGAAACACATTGATTCGGAAACCTGCTGATTGTCACGTCAAGTAGTTCAAGGTAAGTTTTCCACAGACAGGGTTCGCTATGTTTGTTTGAAAGTTATTCTTAATCAAGCATCCCATAAATACCCGTAATTATATAAGTGAAATACTGCATAATTACACAATTTTCGTAATAAAATTTTCCGAATAAGTCTTGATTTATCTTCAAGGGATAATAATTTTGAACACAAGTTCGTTTGAGTGAATCCGAAAGTTGGGTGTGTCTTTAACCATAAAATTCCAAAACCACCAGTAAATGCCCACCACACGATGTTAGTTGGTATTTCTCAGTCTGAGGGAACGCCTATGGAATAAGGCGGCGTTTCCAAGCCAGTGCAGTTGATACTGCACTGTCGACGATTTATAGGAGAATCTAATTAAACGCCTCAACTTCGAAACATCAGGTGTGTGCACATATCCGAAAGCTAACTATAATGCCTTTCAATTTGACTGGTAACTTTGCTCAGGCGGGTTGTTCCTTGTGCCGTGTTGACAGCTCGGATGCCCTTTTAGCCAACAAATATACAAGCATATCGTGCAAACGTGCCTTCTTTTACTTTCAAGGAAGTTGGGAATACGGCAGAAAGTTTGGTAAGCCGATACAGTTGAGATGGTACGCTTTTACAAATGTTCACTTACCTACTAGTCAGTATCGAAGAAAATGAAAGGAAATTCTGGTGTAGGCAAAAAAGCCCAAATAGTCAGAGAACGTATAAGACAATAGCAGGGTTGTAGTCGGTGGTTCGATACAAGAGTTTTCATCATTATAGAATTAATACCTAAGCTCGTACATTTGCTGCGGCAAAATTGTTCATGGGCTTCCGAACCCGGTAATGGTCTTAAATACAAAACATGTACTTGGTGCCGCAGCTGGAATGCAAAGTAATTGAATTGCTGCCAATATTTACTAACGCACGGAACGGGTGCAAAGATCGTGTAAGCTTAATTTTACGACATAACGCAATGAATGAAGAGAATCAGCAAGGTCAGAATTGTCCGCATATTCATTTAAGTTCTTGAGATAGCCTAGCTTCGATCATTTGTTATGCTTTTAAACCCGATCCTAGACTTAAAAGGAGTCGAGTGTGAACACTCTAAAATCTCATCGCTTGTGGTAGAATGCATAAGATGCAGGGAAGGACTGCAAATCCTAAGCAAAGAATAATTTGAAATTAAATGATTACATTCAAATTGTTGGAAGCAATATGGTGAACTAGGTTATCTTTGAGGTTACTTGAAGCCATGCCTTGGTTTTGGAGGTTGCGCCGACTCTTGTGTTAAGTGTTTTCTGGTGGCTAAATGAGCATTTGAAACAATAACAACCCATCGCGAGAAGAAAGAAGCCAATAATATTCGAGATCCTCTAGCTTTAAAACATACAAAGTAAAATGTGCGTTGGTGACCCCTCAATCATAGAGCACCTTTTCCAGCGATTCCGCCTGCATTAGAGCTGTTGACGCTGTGCACGAAGTTACTATTCTCTCCTATTTAGATGCGTGATCCATGCAGCCAGAGATAATCATGCCAAATTCAAGTAGATGACATTTATAGCTTGTTGCTTTGGTGGTAAAAGAAAAGCAGAGGTGATGATTGACAAGACGAATTTAGCTCAGCTTTACTTAACAAACGAGTACATGGTCGAATTTGGTGAGTTTATGCATGGCTGCCTGCACCGTGACCTCCTCGTGGGACACGTTTGAGTGGTGTTGAATCGAGACATGTAAAGTAAACATGTTGCGGTTACACCTGCCTTAGTTACCATTTCAAAATCATCTCAAGTTGATGGTAAGACTCATTACCACTCATCCGTCACCGCTTCCGAAAGTGTAGATTTTGCCCTCTTCAGCATTCCGACAAGGTATCGAGGCCGGTAGAAAATGATGTCACGCCTCAGAATAACGTGACCTAATGCGCTACGATTGTTTTGAAAAGAAAATTTGCCATAGTGGGGCAACAATGCAGCTAACGAGATGCAGAGCGAGAAAAGCATTGATATCAACTACGTTGAATAATAAAAAGCGATTGAAACTCCTTCCACGCACAGGTGAATCTGCTTGGCTGTGGAGCTCTTCATATCCCATAACAACGGAGTCGACAGCACGTTGCCAATAATTCAGGCAACCAGTGACCTCTAGGTGAAAGTTGGAGGGAGTGCAAGTTGACTTAAAAACAAAAAAAAAAAAAAAAACAAGCAAATCACACCACCACAAAGAACTCCTCAAATTGCCTCCTACTGTTTGAGGTAAAGCTGAGGATGTGTTTATATTCCTTATCTGAACTGGGCAAAGTGCACTCAATAGGAAAATCAAAAAGCAAAAGCCTTGCATGTACATGCAACCCATTGAGTAGTGGGAGGAAAACTCGAGACAACTCATTGTTCTCATTTATTATTTACCTACCATAGTCTAAATATTATTAACGGCAAATGCCGACAAAGTAACATGTACAAACGCATTGGATATACGCAGACAATGGAAGTAACAATTAAAGGTCCAAAAGGAGAGCCAATATCAAACCGCAGAGATGTTAGTACCACAATCAAAAATGTCTGGCCGAGTACGGGTTTCCTGCTCTTCTGGACCAAGAGGAACAAAGATATCACGCAAAGGGTCTTTGGTAACATCGTAGGCAGGTACAGAGAGACCCAGTTGACCCTCCACAGTCTCCCGCAGAATATCATCACACTCACGTCGA